AGAATTTATTTGCTAGTAACGGTAGCCAATCAGAACTGCTAAAATGTAAAACTCTGAATTAGATTATATAGATAGATTATATAGATAATAAAAATTAACTATTATATATAAATAATATATAATATTTTTAGTTATTAAAATAATTTAATTTTTAAAAATATTTTTTACCTGGTATTGCTAAAAAATCTCTAGCTATTTTTGCTAAATTTGGATAATCTTTTTCATGAAGCTATATAAATTAATTATTTTATTTAATTAAATAATTTATTAATTAATAAATATACTGTATAATATAAATTTTATATCTTTCAAAATGTTAATATATCTATATCAATATTTGATAGAGGTTCTTTTAAATATTTTATAAGTTCATTAAGCTTATTATATATATTTTTTTAATTATATAAACCATAAGTCCACTAGATTTATTATTTGTTTGATTATTATTTTGAATTTGAGTTGGCATATATTCAGTTTTCCATAAATTAATAATTTTTTGTTGATATATTTCAATTATTTCTTCATTAAATTCTTGATCTTTAAAATAATCTAATTTAAGCCATGGATCAATAACTATAAATATATAAGTAATTAGTATTAATTAATTAAAAATAAAATTAAAAATTACATATTAGTAGAAATTATATAAACAAGTCCATTAGCTGTTAGATAATATTTTTGTAATTTTTGTTTTGGTTTGTTAATAGCATTAATAATTTTATTAGAATAAGTTTCTTCTTTAAGAAATTTTTCAATTAAATCTAATAAATAATTATAAATAGAAATAGTATAACTAAGTGTTGGATAAGATGAAGCACTTATTTCAAGAGTAGCATCTTTAAAACACTAAAAATTAATTAAAATAATTAATTGTAATTTTAAATTTTAAAAATAATAAATTTTAAAATAATATTTATTTATTTAAATTTATAATTATATTAAATTTAATTATATATATACCTTCAATAAATTTTTTATTTGTCTAAGTTTATTCTATTCATTATTTGTTATTGAATATTTCAGAAGACTTTTATCAATTAATACTAAATCATCTAATATCTAATAAAATAAATTAATATTTAATAAATAATTTAAATATAATAATGATAAAATTAAATTACCTGTTGTAAACTTAATGCTCTTTTAATCATATCATATATTGAGTTTCATCTTGTTTTTACATCATCAATTAATTCTAATTTTTTAATTTGTAAAATAAAACATTGTTAATTAAAATGTTCACATTTTTGTAAAGATTTATGAATTTTAACAACTAATTTTTTTAACTAAAATAAATTTTAATGGATTAATAAAAATTTTATTAATTAAATAAATATTTGAAAAATAATTAAAATAAAATTATACTTTTCCAAGAGCTCCTAAATTATTAATTTCTTCATTATCATCACTTTCTTCAAATTCATAATTTTTATCAAAATTATTATTATATAATGCTTTAAGAATTTAGACGCAAATCACTAACTCTTCCCAACAATCACTTATACCAAATTTCTCTTGAAAACAATTGCTATTTACTCAAAATTTTATTAAGTAAACTACTCTTGGCTGCCTAAGTAAAGTTGTTTTACACCTAATTTTACTTTTAGGTGGCTTAGTTTATAGCTCTAAAGCTCTTTGTTAGTAAGTTATAACTATATTTTTAAATTTTCTATTTCTGCTATTTACTTAAAATTTTACTACATAAACCTTTCTTGTTCATTAATAGAAAAAGATTAAGCTCAACCAGAGCTTCAATTTGATATATAATCATCTAAAACAGATAAAAACTTCAAATTTTATTATCAAAATACTACAAAACTCTGTTGCAAAAATTCTGCCTAATTTTTGCAACTTTTTTTAATTTTTTTTTTATTTTTTGGGGGTTTCTGTTCCCCCTAGGATGTCCAAACCTGCAGATCCCAATTACAAATTCATATTATTAATCAATTTACACAATTCTAATCTTGTTTCATCTATTTTTATATAAA